CTGTGAGGAGACTCAATAAAAGATACCCTTACTCTCCAGTGATCCTGAATCGACAGTGAGATGACAAAGGAGTCAAGCAGATGGAGATAAAAATATCAGCTTTGTCACTGATAGAACTTTTGGAGAGCATGCCTTAGGTGTGTGGCTTCCTGCCACTGAACTCCAGAAATAGGGAGACTCGCTCACCAACAACACCCAAGCAGTGTCTCCCCAAAAGAACAAGGAGAGGGAAAAAGCATGTCCAGGGTACTTGCTTCTTTATTTTTTGCTGTCAAACAAACAACTTACCAAGCTTAGCAGCTTAAACAAATTTAGCATACAGTTCTGCAAATCAGAAATCTGGTGGGGATGTACTAGATTCTCTGCTCAGAGTTCCACAAGGCAAAAATTTAGGGATTGGCCAACCTGAGTCCTTACTTGGAGGCTTTAGGGAGAAATTTACCTCCAAGCTCATACAGGTGGTTGGCAGAATACAATTTCATGTGGCTGTAACATGGCGGCCCTCATTTCCTTGCTAACTGTAGACTAGGGGTTGCCCTCAGCATCTAGAGACTGCTCTCTAGTTCTTGCAAATGTCCACTCTGTCTTCTAACTACAATGCTGACTTCACTTCTGCCCCAGCCTGAGAAAACACTGTTTTTAATGGTTTCCTGTGATTAGATTAGGGCTACCAGGAAAATTTCTCTGTTGCTTGAGTCAAAGCCAACTGATTAGTAACCTTAATTACATACACAAAAGATATCTTTTATTCCACGTACTATAACAAGAGCATAATAGTGCATCATATTCCCAGACCCAGGGACGAGGATGGAAAGTTTGAGGGGTTTCTTTTATACTTCTGCCTTCTACAGCTGGTTTCTGCTTCTAACACTACTAACCAGGCAATTCAATCTTATATGGTGGAGGAAGAATGAAGATGTAAAAAGAGGCCAAGCGTTTTACACTAAGGAATGTTGTTCCATAGAAACCTGAAGCCAAGGAAGGGGTGGTCCCACCACTGCCTCTCACCTGCCCCACCCCCAATATACTTAAATAGCTATAACCCAAAATACATTATAGTTCAAGTCACACAGGAGATGTGGAGATGACGATGAAGCATATGATTGGTCTTGAGAGGCAATTTCACCTGAGGCAGAAGGATCTGCCCCTCTCCAAGATGAGGACAGTAAAGGTGGCTCTTAACCCTTCAGGACTGTGCTAAAAACCTTCCTTTGAATTCCAGAGAACACAGTCAGCAGAAATATGGTGTGGGAGACTCATCTGGAAGTACTGTATGCAATTAGCAGGAACCCCATTTTTAGGAGATCTTTGTAAGAAGTCTGCTAAGAGCTAATGAGAACTTGAACCAGAATGACGTCAACAGGAATTGAAAGGGGGGCTGAATTGTTATCAACCAAAGAAATCCAGAAAGAACACTTGGCAAAAGACTGGATGAGGGCAAAGATCAACCCAGGGATCAAGTCTGGAAACAGAGAATGATGGTGCAGCGGGGGAAGCAAAAGGAAGGACTGGGTCGGAGCGGAAGCTGATGAATTTGATCTTCAGTAAAATACACGTGGCAAACACTAGTTTTCTCAGGTCGCTTCCACCGTACACACGTGCACACACATACACACACATACACCTCTCAACATTGGTCTTTCCCTTCCCCTGCTACCCACCAGTTTCCCTTCCTCCTCCAACAAGTTTCAATGTCCCCTTCCCTACATCCCATTCACTTTCCACTCCCTGCTCCATTTCTGCTGCCACTCAGTTGAATCTCTTTTGGCAAAGGTCACGTGCTCTCTCTGTAGACAAGTCCAGTGGAACCTTTCCAGTTCTTCTTTCCATGGCACCTCCGCGGCCTTTGGGACGTGTCCTTCCTTCCAAAGCTAGTGTTTTCCTTTATTCTTATTCCTTACTCTCTCCTCTTTCTTTTCCCAGCTCCATCTCCTTAGTTGCCCCCTCTTCTGCCCACCCCTGGCAGGTTGATAATCCCAGACCTGTGAATGGTCTCTTCTCACTGGAAACAGTCTCTGAAACTACCATAGATAGTTTGATCGTACCATAGATACAATCTGAAACTACCATAGTCTGAGGATGTTTTAGCTCATTATTTCCACATGAAACCTCTCCCCAGAATTCCTGTTTTCCCTACCAACCAGCACCTCCTCTTCTGTTCTGGGCACCCAAAGCTCAGAGAGACATCCCGATGTCTCTCTCTGCAAACCCACTATTTCTGGTCTTCTCTACTATTATTAATGGGCAGATGCTGGGGAGACTCCTCCCCCTCCCTCACCCCAAGCCCCTCTACCATCTCCATTGCTTCTACCTTAATCCAAATCCTCATGACCCCTTGTCTGACAACTGCAGTGGCTCCTCACTCCTCATCTCTACACCCTCCAATTCACCGAGCCACTGTTGACAGGTTTATTTTTCTAAAATATATATTAATTTTGTTATTTCCCAGTTTGGCTTTGATAGATCAATCTCCCTCACATTGAAGTTGACATTTCCTCAGGTTGCATGTGCTTCCAATGACCTATCTATGTCCATGTATCTGTGAACTGCCACACTCCATCAACCACCCCCCGAACCTGGTCTCAAACCTATACCCCAGCTGTACTGGAACTAACACAGTGATCTGTTTCATAGACTCACATCCTTGCTCATGATGCTTCTTCTGCCCTGAACACCGTCTCCCTACCCCACCGTCACGTCCCTAAACCCCTCCTCTAGCTCTTGGAATCACTTAAAAATCTACCCAACCTCCAAGAATCAAGTCAAACATCACCTCTGCTAGGAAGGAAGTCTTTCCTGGGCCCACCAGGGGCTGCTGGCCCCTCTTCCTCCTACTTTCCCTCCCACCAGTTCCCAGGGCCCTGGACATGTGTCCCCCAACAGCCATGACACTTCTTTACTCTCATGTTTGTCTTTTGTCACCAGTGAGCCTAGCACCTTGCCTGGGACGGAAGAAGCATTCAAGGAATGGTGCACAAAAATAAATAATTGTGATAAAAAAAAAAAAGGAACATAGCTTACCATGCATGTGGAAACTATATGTAGATATGAATGTCTGTGTATATGTGGTGTGTGTGTGTGTGTGTGTGTGTGTAGATCAAGACTGATGTGAACTTGGGCAAGTTTCCTGAACTGTCCAAGGGTAAGGTTTCTTATCTGTAAAACGGGGATAGCAACGAAGTTGCTGTAAGGATAAAATCAGGAAAAGTATGTAAAAGCACTTCTCCCATTGCCTGGCATATAATTGCATTCAATGGCGGATGGAGGGAAGAGAGAGCTAGCACGCAAGCGAGCACACTGGAGGATGAGCTACCAGATTCACTGCTCACTGTCAAAAACACACACAACCTCTCCTCTCTTGCAGTTCGCGTTCTGGCGTCTTTAACAGCTTCATGGGCAAATCGCTTCAAACCTGCACAGATGCTACTTCACCTGGGCAGCAGTTTCTCACCCCCTGCCCCTACCCCCTCCCCAATTTAACCACATTTGCTGTGTTCTCAAGGCTGCTGATACACAAGGAACTAAGAATAGTTTCATAGTTACCAATCATATTTTTCAAAATCCATTTTTGCCCGTGTTTTTTGATTTTTAAAAATCTTGGCTTTTTCCTCAGAATTGCTGAAATGTTAAGTGTGTAAATAAACCTGTGTTTTCTTGCTCTCCTACTCCAATTTCTTAGACTCAGACAAGGAAAAGCTTCTCTGGGTCTCAGGAGAGAATTTCCAGGGTGCATGGTTCCGCTGGCTGTGCTGTCTGGTCAGTCTTACCCTTGTGGATTCCACACCCCCACCCCACTGTCCCAATACCCATTAAAACTGAGCTGACAAAACTTCAGGATACATTTGTTATTTCTTACCTTATCATTCACAATTAGTGCAAATGATTATCTCTCTGCCTTGCTCTTTAAGAAAAAAACTTCAGAGAATCATTTTATCTACTTGTAAACCACAATCTTGGGATTCTTTTTTTTTAGGACGGTCCTTTGAGACTATACATATTTAATTCCTTTAATATTTCATCATAAAATAGTCCTTCAGAACCTCTTATTTTAGTTGTTCCTTTTGCTTTGGCAAAAATATAAAACCAAAAGAGCTGCAAATCTTGTTTTTCTGCCTATTTAAACAGCATCTGGAAATCTGAAATAATTGTCTCTTTTCTTATTTTAAAAGATTTTTTTAAAAACACACAGTATACTAAATATTGCGGTGTGGAGTTGAAAGCTTGAGATCATCATTTGAAATGCTCAAATCCTGTCTTTGAAAAACAGTATTTCCTCTTCATTACTCAGTGCTGTTATCAATATACAAGGCTGATAGAGTAATTTCAAATACACAACATTATATGTAGATATTCAAAAGAAGGAAAAAGCTTCATGTGACTTTGCTTAATAGGTTTACCTATAGTTGTAAATGCAGCAGTATACAGTAAGTGATCCATATTTGGGAATTATCATATAACAATTATTTCTAATAATAATTGATATAATCTATTATTTAATTGATATAATCTATTATAGCTTGTGAGAGGTTTAGATGTAAACAATCTGCCTGCCTAGCAAAGGGAAGGGAAGGAGAGTAAGCAGGGAAAAATGTTTCCAAAATGTCCTATCATTAGAAGTAAATGGTCATAAATGTTTTTCATTCAGTTACGGTTTGGTTTTAATTTCACCTTGAATTCTAACATTCCTACACCTTCCAAATGTATTTTAAATCTTCACTAAATAAACCACATTTTCATCACACACAGAGCTTAAAAGAAGTGATTCTATGACAGATATTCAGTATTAGCTAGCAATGGAAAACATTGGTTGAAGGTACATAAAACCACGTGCATATGTAATCGTTTTTTAACTTGGTGATTTACTATTTTGTCATTTTTGTGTCAAAACTATAAAAATCTCCAGTGCTAAAAAGTGTGAAAAATGAGTTAGAAAAAAAAAAAGTGGGGGGAGAATTTTTAAACTTGCATTATTTTTATTTTCCTACTTTCTATTATTTCAGAATGCATACTTGGAATGAATCCTTCTAGAGACGTCCACGGTATGTTTCATTCCAAGTTATATTTTCAAACAAAATATGCACATTCGTATATGTTTCTATGATTTTATATCTATGTATCTCTATGTATAACCTGTGATATCATTTAACCAAGTAATTAAGGCTTTTTGCTGATTCCAAAATACTTAAAAGCAGTTCTCCATATTGTAGATGTTATACCATATAAAATATTTCAATGAAAGCTTAAATGATACCCTCAGTTCTACAGCGTTTACCACAGGTCCTTCTGCTATTAAATGCCTCTATACAAGTCTCTAAAAACAAAATAGAGCTTGGCTTCTGATGCAGCCCAGTTTATTACCTCTGTTATAGCAGTGGTAATGAAAAATTTTTGTAAGAGTAAAATGTTTACTAAGCATTCCTAAATTTAAAAAAGATTAATTTTAAAATGTCAGCTTACTACTTGTGAGGTACACAATAGATTTATGAAGTGAAAGTGAAATAATGACACATTAACCATAGCATCCCACAGAAGCATTCAGATGGAGGAAGGATGTAATGGAAGAACTAAGGGCTCGCCTCCCCATAGTAATTAGATTTGAAAAGTGAAGTAATCTCAAAGCCACTTCAGAAGAAAAAAATGTTTAATTAAATTCCAGTGTTCAAAACTGGATAGTGTGTATGGCAGGTGATTTGTACATACGTGTTACTCTTCATCAAAATTGTTTTCCATCCCCGTACATTAATACAAATTGCAGCTATTTGGTCCAAAACCATAGCAAGATACATTCTCTATTTTTAAAAATGTAAATTGGTCATTTAAAATAGAAATAATTCTTTTACAGGTATATTACATTTTTACAAATGTAATTTGGGAAATATCACATTGCTCCCAAAGGGACATTTTAAGATAATTGTTGAGACTCTAACCCCATCTTTACGCATATTTTCGGGAAGCTTTTGAAAGAGCAAAAATGTAAATTATTTAGTTATCTTCTGAGACCACCTATAGTTATTTACCTAAAGTTGCAGAAGAAAAACGTCAATGAACTGTTACTGTTTTCCAATGAAATTATTTTCCTTCCAACTAACCAAGTACTATTTTTCGAATCTACTGCGGAAATTTACATTTCATTCCTGTTGTGAGCCTTTTTCAATTCTCCTCCCTTCCTCTTCCCGAAACAAATTTAGAAAAATCTGCCAAGTAGCATCCACACAACATATCGCTTCGTTGCTTTTTTTTTTTTTTTTTTGTAATTTTGCTTTATGACAAAGGTAAATTCTAGCATTACTCCAAGGAAACACTGGGAATGAACCTCGTAAAGCTTCCTTTCCTTTCTCCCTCAGGCAAAGGAAGGGGAATTCTGTACTGCCGCTAAAGTGAGTGCTGTTGGTGGAAAGGAATTCCTCATTTCTCACACGCTGTTGCTGGCCTTGAGAGTGCAGGCTCCCTGATGCGCCCTGCAGACTAAGGGGTTCCCTGTCCCCCGAGCCCGAGCCTCTTTCTATTCAATTCATTTTAGAGTCTCAGTAAGGAGGGGCAGTGGTTGGTCTGTTTCTTGTTTTCAAGAGAGCGTCGCGCCGCGCAGTTACAGCCCCCGCCGCTCCCGTTAAACCCAAATGCCCGGCAATCCCAACGAGTCAGGGAGCAAAAGCTTTGGCTGCTATCAGCTTTTTGTCGCGCTTCAAACTCGGGATTTATCGGTTGAATCGGTTGAAACTCCTAGCTGAGCAGCTCCCAGGACGCAGCCTCTGAAGCCTAAATAAAGGTGGTGCATGCCCGGTTGGGACCAACTTTCCTTACTCGAAAAGGGAACTTGACTCCCTCCCGGGAGACTGCAGCCCACGTCCGACTCGCAGCCCCTCGCAGGCTTTAGGGTTTTAGGCAAGTGGCCCGAGATCCAGACGAGCCTCCTTGCACCTTTCCAAGAAGCAGATCTCCGGAGTCTGCTATTTTCTCTGGAGTCAAAGCCCACTTTTGGAGCCGCCACACCCTCGTGCTTCCTCCCACATCTCGAGGGTCCAGGGGATACATTTGTGGTGGCCCCAGGAGTCCTGGGTGGGATCTCGGGGAAATGGATGCGAGCCCAGGCGAAAAGCACCCCTTGCCCAGAACCTGCCTCTAGAGCGGGACGCGTCCGAGCCCGCAGGCAAAGGCGCAGCGGCCCAGACGGACTGACGGGTGGGACGGCGGGCTGGCGGGCGCGATGAATTCCGCCCAGGGACAGTTAGAAAGTGGACGTTTGGCAGAGGGGTGGTTACAACAGGAATTAGGTTTTAAAAATCATTTTAAAAATAAGTTTTCTGAGACCCCAGGTCCATTGAAACAAAACTGCACCAGGGTGCTGGCAGTGCCCAGGATTTTCCTGCGAGAAAGGAGCAGAGGGAGACCGGAGGGGGCAGAGGCCGCGGGTCGCCCGCCTTAGCCGCGGGAGTCGGGGCTCTAGCAGCATCGACAGCCCCGATCGGGCCCCAGGCACAGGAGCCTCGGGAAGAGTCTCGACCGGGCCGCACAGCCAGGAGTCCCGGCGGAGGGTCCCCAACCCGACTGGCTGTGGCTCCAGATCGGAACCTCGGAGACGCGTCGCGGCCGTTCAAGCTCAAGTGGGCTCTGGCGGCCGATTCCTGTCGTTTCTCGTCGAACTCCAGTTCTTCCTGGGCGACCCGAAGGCCACGCGGCGGGCCGCAGAGCCCCGCGCCGTCGGGGGTGTCCCGGGAGCACCGGGGGCTGCACGCGGCTTCCAGCGAGGGCGGCTGCTGCCCCCTGGCGTCCTCCCGAGCCCGCGGCACGTGCCGGCAGCTCCGCGCAGCCCCAGCCCGCCAGGGACAGGCTGGCCTCAACGCCGGCCGGCCCCGGCCCCCTCCAGCGTCCCGGCCCGCGGCAACGCCCGGGGACAGTCCCTGCGTGGCAGCGGCCCCAGCACCCCAGCGCTGGGGGAGGGAGGAGGGGGCGTCAGGGGCCCCGTGGGGCTGGGCGGGGGACCCCTGCGCGGGGGAGCTGAATTGAGGGGCTCCGCGGGGACGGCAAAGAAGCTCGCGGTGGAGCCGGGCTCCGAGCCACAGCCCCGAGATGGAGGAGAGGCCCCGGTGGGGGGACTCGTGGGGACGCGAGCAGCCTCCGCGGGGAGCGAGCCCCGTCGGGTGGGGTCGGAGTTGGCCGCGCGCGCCGGGCCGGGGGCGGGGCCCTCGGAGCTCCGCGAAAATGCCCGCGGCGCCGCGGCGACCGAGGCAGGGGGAAGCGGCCGTCCGCGCGCGAAGTCGGGGTGGGTTCCGCACTTGGGGCGGCTCTCGCGCGCGGGGCGGGGAGAGGAGCGGGGTCCGCTTCCGGGGAGCCGGAGGGGAGACGCGGGGCCCGGGCGGGCTGTCCCGCCGTTGCGGGGGCCGGCGCTGCGAGGCCCGGGAGCGAGCCGCGCGGCTGCTTTCAACTTTCCTTCCAGCCGCGCGTTCCTGGGGTCTTTTCTGACTAGGAAACTCCTCGCGGGCCGCTGGCGCACGCAGCCAGGGTGAGGCGCGCGGCGGGATCGAGCCGCGGCCCAACGCAGCGGTTAAAAACAAACACCCTTTACAGAAACCGACCCGAGGGAAGACGCTGAAAGTAAACGACACGCGCGGACGCCGTCCGGCCTCATGCAGGGAATCAGCGCCGCTTCGCCGCAGCTGCCAGCCGGGCGGTGCAGGAGCGCGGAGCGGCTCCCCCGGGCCCCGCGGCCGAATCTCACCCCCACCCGGGAAGCGGGGGCCCGGCCCCGGGCGCTGCGCAGGATCTGGGGCCGCCGGCGGGCTTCAGCCCCGGTTCGGGAGCCTCGCGGCGGCCGCTGGCCTGCCTGCAGCTGGTCTCGGGACCCGGCCCCTCCGGGCGCGGCGCGCGGGCCGGGTCCTCCCCGGGCCGCCCGGGCCTGCCTTTCTCTTCCCAGGTCTCGGGACCGCGGCCGCTCGCGAAGTCGCAGAAGCCCGCGTGTGGCTGCGGGAAGGGGTCGGCACTCGGGCGGGGCCCCGGGCCAGGATGCGGGCGTGGGTGCGGGGGCGCGGGGGTAGCCGCCGACTCCCCGCCCGGGCTGCGTACAGTAGCGCGCGGCGCGGCGGCGGGGGCGCGCGGGCCAATTCCAGGAGCCGGCGGCCGCGAGCCGCGCCCTGGCTGATACCGGAAAGGCCTGTGATTGGCCGCCGGCGCCCCTATGCAAACGAGCTGAGGGAATGGAATTCCTCCGGCCGGGCTTACAGTAAAAGCACGTTCATTTCCAGGCACTCTCATTCATACAGCCAGCGGGCGCGGGCGGGACGGGCGCCCCGCGGCCGGACCCAGCCAGGGCACCACGCTGCCCGACCCCGCGCTGCCAGGCACTTCTTCCCGGGGCTCCTAGGGACGCCAGAAGGAAGTCAACCTCTGCTGCTTCTCCTTGGCCGGCGCTGGACCTTCCTTTTTTTGTTGCTTTTTGTTTTCGTTTTTCCCCTCTTTCTTCCTTTTGAATTAACTGGCTTCTTGGCTGGATGTTTTCAACTTCTTTCCTGGCTGTGAACTTTTCCCCGATTGTTTTCCTTTTACAACTGCGGGAGAAAGTGCGCTGTGGTCCGAGGCGAGCCGTGAAGTTGCGTGTGCGTGGCAGGGTGCGTGGCAGGGTGTGCGTGCGTGTGTAATCCGAGCCGCCCGGTCTGTTTCGATCTGCGCCGCGGAGCCCTCCCTCAAGGCCCGCTCCACCTGCTGCGGTTACGCGGCGCTCGTGGGTGTTCGTGCCTCGGAACAGCTAACCGGGGGGCACTGGGCAACGGTGGAGGAGGATCGTCTCGCTGCTGCCCGAGTCAAGGCTGAGTCACCCAGCTGATGTAGACAGTGGCTGGCTTCCGAAGAGTGCGTGTTTGCGTGTGTGTGACTCCGCGGCTGCTCAACTCCCACCAAACCACAGGACCAGCCACAAACTTCACCAACATCCCCAAACGCGAGTTCGCAGATGTGGAGAGCTGTAGTACCCTGACTGTCATCGACTGGGCCTGTTTCTTCTTATTATTATTATTATTAAGATTAGCTGAAGATATTTGAAATGCTGAATTTTCTGCACTGAGCATTTTGACAGAATTCATTGAGAGAACAGAGAACATGACGAGTACCTCTAGTTCAGCCCTGCTCCAACTGCTGAAGCTGATTTTCAAGGCTACTTAAAATCTGCAGCGTACATTAATGGATTTCTGTTGTGTTTAAATTCTCCACAGATTGTACTGTAAATATTTTATGAAGTAGAGCATATGTATATATTTATATATACGTGCACATACATTAGGAGCACGACCTCTGAATGTCGCAGCTCTTGCTTTTCAGGACTGAAGCCAGTTTTGCATGATAAAAGTGGCCTTGTGTATCGGAGATGCTTGTGTTCTGTTGGAACTTTAGACAGAACTCACCTGCAGAAAACTGACAGGCATTAACTACTGGGACTTCCAAATAATGTGTTTGCTGGTCGTTTTACTCTCCGCATAAATATTTTAGGAAGTGCATGAGAATTTTGCCTTCAGGACCTTTTGTAACAGCCAAAGACTGAACTTAAAACTCTGCAAGCAAGACTCGAAGAAGATAGTCTCCACTTTCTAATGCACTAAGCCGTCGGTTGCTAGGAGCGCATCCTGGGTCGGAGGCCTATCGGCAGAACCAGAACTGTCCCCCACCCCAGAACCCACCCTGGACTGTTAGTAACTTAGTCTCCCGGGTCCCCCAACCAGCACCCCCCCTCCTCCCTCAGTAATAAAGGCCTCTGAACTTGTATGTTGGTCTCCCGGGAGCTGCTTGCTGAAGATCCGCGCCCCCGTCGCCGTCTGGTAGGAGCTGTTTGCAGGGTCCTAACTCAATCGGCTTGTTGTGATGCGTATCCCCGTAGATGCCAGCACGAGCCGCCGCTTCACGCCGCCTTCCACCGCGCTGAGCCCAGGCAAGATGAGCGAGGCGCTGCCGCTGGGCGCCCCGGACGCCGGCGCTGCCCTGGCCGGCAAGCTGAGGAGCGGCGACCGCAGCATGGTGGAGGTGCTGGCCGACCACCCGGGCGAGCTGGTGCGCACCGACAGCCCCAACTTTCTCTGCTCCGTGCTGCCTACGCACTGGCGCTGCAACAAGACCCTGCCCATCGCTTTCAAGGTACTGGCCCGGAGCGGGTGGTGGGAGGACAGGCGGAGGCCGGCGAGGCCCGGGGCGATCCGCGAGGGCAGCGGCCGGGCGGGCGGGGCTGGATTCTAGAAACTGGCCCCGGCAGCCCGGGGTCAGTCTTCCTAGTTTGGGATGCGGGGGATGCTGTGTTGCCGTGGCGACCCCTCGGGAGGGACTCGTCTCCGCTTTTGGGGGAGGCCTTCCCGGGAGGGCTGAACACATCAGGGTGACCCCAAAGACATCCACTGGGAGCCGGTTGGGACCTACCTGGCAGGGTCCTTAGCTTTGATACAAAGTAGGAAAAGTTGTAACCCCGCCCGGCAGGGACAGCCCGTCTGCTAACTAATTTACTGCTGCCCCTACTGCTAGCTTAACTCCCAAACCATTTTGTCTTCCTCAGATGAAGGCATCAGGAAATAAAATAGTGATTGATACTTTTCTACCTTCGAGTCAGTGAAAAGAAACTAACAAGGGAAACTGTCACGGACTTTTTCCCCCCTTCTCTAACCGCCCTATAGGAATTAGCATGTCCAAAGTCCACAGCGGGCGTAGTTAAGTTTGCAAAAGTTTTCTGAAGAGTTCTCTGAGCTTTTTAGCTTGCTGCTGCCAGAGGTTGCATGTAGCGAATCCTGTTTCTTTTCCCGAAACCGTTCTGAATGCTATCATCAGCTCACCTGGATTAAGCCCGGGGCGGCAAAAGGTGACGAGGCTGTATTCGGAGAGCCGGGGGTCCCAGCGGCCCGCTCCCCTGTTAGAGGAGGGGGCGGCGCGTGGCCCGAGACTTCAGTGCGGCGGCTCCAAAGATCTCCCTTCACTTTCCACCCTTGATCATCCCCTAGCTTTCAGCTGCCTTTAAAAACCTTGGCCTTCAACAGGGGTATGAAAACAACCCCAGGCGTTTCTAAACAACCACCCTACTACCCTAACAGCCTGCAGTGGGAATTTAATTTCTGCAGTGGAGATTCTGTTTTGTCTTTGGTGGGTTTAAAAAGATGCTACTACGTAAAATCAGTGCGGGTCATTTCCTGTTCATTTAAAGGGCTAATCAAGGTAGGTGGTTCCAAGTGTAAAGATAAGCTACTTAAAAAAAAAAAAAAAAAAAAAAAAAAAAAAAAAAAACTGTTTAAATAATTGTCCCCTTTAAGGGGAGGTTAATTTAAGTTTTTTACACTTCCAGGCCTCAGCTGGGTCTTGATCTTATTACAGCGAATAATAGTCACTTTTTAAGAAAGTATTGTCGGAGTTATTTTTAAGCTTTATACACTTTCAACACTTAGCCTGTGATTTCTAAAACAACGAAATTTTCAGTTGTGTCTGTCTATAGATTTGCCTCTTTTTCCACTCACTTTTCCAAAAGCAGTTTTTTGTTTTGTTTTGTTTTGTTTTTTTAGTGGGAGTGGAAATGAGAAGGAATGCAGCGACTTGCTTGACTCTTTTTTCCCTCCCTCCATTTACTTAGATTTGGGTTTGGGGGACCATTTTACTTTCACATCATTCTAACCCTTTGCATAAATGGACTTAGCGGTGAATCTGTAGGGCACCCGCATTGAGAGGGGACCCAACAGGGTTGGGCCATAGGGTCACTATCAGATAAGAGCAGAGGCAAGACAGGCTGATAACCACCAAAGGCCATTTAAACCTGACTGCCCCAATGCACCAGAGCTCCAAGAGATTTGCGGCCTCCTTTGGGGGAAAATCAGGGTCTCTTCTGAACTCCCTCCTCTGCCAGGGAACCCACACTCAAATATATCAAAATGCTAAATGATTAATAAAGAATCTTCAGGAGTTGGAGCAATTCAGAGTCTCAAGTCATTACGTGAAAATATTTATTTTCTTCTAAAAAGAAAATGAAAAATCTTACATACTGCTTTTATGAGCCATCAGGATTCTTTTTAGCAGAAATCATAATAACCCTAGTTTCCTTTTTAAAATGACTTTTGGCAATTCACTTAAAAACAATTAATTTATTTTATTGAGTGATAATCTGTAGGCTACTAAAAATCAAAATATAGATCTCTTGAAAAAGTTCAGGCAGGCCTCTTGAGAACATTTGGGGGAAGGAAAGCATAGCAGAGAAATCAGACCATTTGTTTAATATCTGTCACCACCCCAATCCTCATAAAAAGAGACTTCTTCTCCAGGAGACCTGCTCTCTGCGTAACTAGAAGAGTAGACAAAATGTTCAGTGAGACAGCAACTGTGAAGGGATAAAACGTTAGGGATAAAAGAAGCAAAACCTCCAAACCTGCCTACACCACAGGCTCATTTACTGTATGTCCCCGGCTTCACTCTATTTATCCACCCACCCAACCGCATCCCAAACAGTTTCTACAGAAATTATTATTTTAAAATTTGGATCTGAAATAAGCCAAAGGCAATCTCCCTAGGAAGTAAATCAGTAAGTAATTATTATATTCTCCATGATAAAAGAAGCAAATGTGAAACAATGATAAGGCCTGATGATATTGATGAAAATATCATTTAAGGGCTTCTTAGGAGTCTTCTGAAGTTCTAGAGGTAAATCCTCTACATCAATCTTCTAAACTAAAGAGAGAATGAAAATTATGAATTTTCTTTAAAATAGATTAGAATAACCCTACTTGCTTATTTTGGACCCCAATCTGTTCTCCTCCTACTTCTTGCCTCCCATGGAACACCTTTAGAGTATCAGATATACACGGCTTTTACTACTAAGAAAACCTTACATTTGCTGTGTGTTGTGCTGTATTTACAGAAGTAGCCTAAAAAGCTGTTTTGATCACTTAGGATGTATTGTAATACCATAGTATTATAGCATGTTCAGGCCCTGGTACACCAGAGTCCAAAGATGTAAACATGCCTGCGGCAGGGAAGTTCAGAGACCTTGGATTCTCATAGTAATATTCTTTTCATAAAAAGGAAACAAGTAATATTTCTGTCGGCAAGATCACGGTCCCTAGCTATGCCTTAAATGTCATCTCAGCTGAATTCTGTGTTCCACTCCGCAGCCTTCTTTGAAGCACTGGAAGATTAAGGGATTTGAAGTAAATGAATTGTAACTGTAATTTCAGCCTAATTAGAACTGGTTTAAAATGCCAGTTTGAACTGTGAACAGACTAGCCAAGAACAGTATTGGGAGGTCCATGTAGCATAGAAGAGAGTTGATATTTTGCCCAACTTCCTGATACTTTAAAAACAGAGAAGTAAAACAAAATATGAGATATCTTTGGCCAGCAAGTCCCTTCTTGCCTGTTTGGTCTGTGTTAAAATGTAAATGTTTGTGTTTCCTTACCTATTGTTTATAGCGTTTCATTCCAGTTGTTCCTTTTTTCTGTTTGAAGTTAGATATTTTTTCATTCTCCCCATATTGCCCATCAGTGACCAAACCTGTATCAAATTAGCACACGTTAGTTTTAAATTTAAAAAACTTTTTAAACCTAGCTTAAGTATGCTTGTTAACAACTGGGCAATATACGTTATTAATGAAATTGCTCTGGATTAAATAATTTCCCTGAACCTGCCCCCTGCCAAAAAAAAAAAAAAAAATCCCTCAGAGATCAATACAAGGCCAAGTAAATGATATGTAAGTGCCCAAATATCTTTAATTCGCTTTATTAAGAGAGAGAGAGAGAGAGAGAGGAGTGAGAGTTAAACTTCTATTTTTTTAATTCTTAAATTCCAACATCGACAATATTTTCTTATTTAGCCTCCATGATAATTTTATCCTATGTTTGTTCCGACTTGGCGAAGTTCTCGTGAATTTGCCAGATTACTAATGAGGATAGTATTGGAAAGATGAGAGAGGCACAGGCGGGGGGCACTGTGAGAGGAACCAGCAGTAGGAGGCAGATAATTCAGAATACATTCCTGTAGTTATAAAAAAGGGATTTGTTTATTTTAATCTTTTTACAGATTCAGACCCAACAATGAGTTATTCAGTTTGAAACCCACATAGTCGAGGCAGCCCCTGTGTACCTTCTGAATGTTGAGTTAAAATTGAGAAGCCTGGGTCACCACAGGGAGATGAAGATGAGGAAGTAAAAATATGTGTTCAAAAAGGGCATTTCAACACTGTGAGCTAACTTTACAAAGGGAAGTGAAAATAGTGAAAAACGGGGGAAAATTTGTTGTAAGAGACTAAAAAGAGCAACATAAAGCAAGCCCATTTTTTCGGGAATAGAAAAAAAAAACAGTAACAATAACCAAATAACTGATCAGGGAGATTTATTTCAATGATATCTTCTTAAAACAAAAAGGAAATTGTATTACTGCTCTTAATGAAATGGCAACAAACACACTTATAATGGGAACTAAATAGCTAATTAGAGGGTACTTGGGGAATAAATAGCAGTGTTTTAAAATCTCCTATATGGAAAACATGCCCAGCAATTGGAATGAAAGGATTAAAACAAGCGATAAAAGGCCCAGACCTTGACAGTGCAAGTTGGATAAAATAGAGGAAAATGCCTCCCTGTTTCCATGAGACTAGATTATCCTGGTGTAGTCTTGGGGTTGGAAGTATGTTTATCTCTCATAGTGAGTTAGTTCATGTTCTGTGCCATGCTTCTCAGGACCACAGGACTGAAGCCATTCTAATGAGTAAAAACTATCGATGGTCATCTGGAGGCCACAGGGAAAGGTGATGGCTAGGCAGATCATGAAGATGGGAATCTTGAGAAACATGACTTTGATATCATACAAGTGAGTCCATAGCAGTCTTTTTTATATATAGAAAAAGAGGCCTGAAAATAGATACTACCCAAAAAAATTACACAGCAATTATTAAGGTAAAAATGGAAAAGCAGGAGTCAGAGGAAGGAATAATAACAGCAGATTAAGGAATGCTTTACTGTTACCAGTTCAAAAACAGCAACCAAAAATGATGATGTAATTGGAATGAGTTAATATAAATGTCACTACTGACTAAGAAAGTACCATAAAGAATATCAGAACTGATCAGAATAAATACAGCTTGGGGCATTTCCATTTGAAATTGCATGACTCCTTTCAAAAATAGAAACAATGGAAATATAGCAATAATAAATATCTAGACCTCGAAAATCATTTCTAGAAGGGCTGAATAATAGCCAAGCAATTGTTACTATCGTGGGAAGTATCTTTAGGTCATGCTTTTCAGAGCATTTTACTTTGGAATTCATTTTCTTGATTACCTGAGTATAAAAAATATTTATCTACCAGTTTTCTCCAATAGCCCTGATAAGACTTCATACCTATTCAGTTACATTAAAGAAATTCCTGGTCAAGATCAGCTGGGCTAGCAGAAAACCTCAGGCATCTGTGAGTACATGAGTTGACACACCTTGAGACTGACAGATATAAAAATGCAACCCAGTTTCATCGCTGAATTGAGAGGAGTGCATAGAAGTGAATGTCCCATCTTTCTGAGGTGTGTTGACTTTGTAATTAGTTAATAAACAGAGGATACATTTCTGATTTTTTTTTCTTGTGTGCTAGAATTCATTGCTAGTAAAACTCAAGATAATAGGAGTGAGTAGGAGATATCAAAGATGAACTGTAGAGGGATAGTTTAAATTACTTAAGAATCGTCAGCCAGATGAAATCTAATTTTAGCAGAAATAAATTTTGGTTTTGGTTGTTTGTTTGTTTTCTAAAAGTAAAGTCTGGGCCTTGTTCAGTCTGTCAGTGGAGGTCTGAGCAAGTAAAAGATGTGTTAGATTATAAACTTATGGATACAGGATGTTCTGTTTCTCAAGTGGGAGGAATTAAAAAGATGATTGTGTGCAGGAGACAGCATAGCTACTCAAAATCCTTGATACTTCTCTATGGTTAGTCTTGTTTCAACTGTGCTATATGACCTTATCTGGCTTTATTAGGTGAAGTTAGTAAATGTGTCATTATTTGAAAATTTACATGTAGTTATGCATAATGTATTCGTTTGGTGCAAAATTACGGTTTTTGGAATTTAAAAAATGCAAAAACCGCAATTACTTTTGCATCAGCCTAAAATACAATAAAAAGTGTCTTCCCGTTATAACTTTTCTGTTGTTTTCCTTAAGTTATGATTGCTATTCCTCTACAACCTAAAAAAATCATCACATATACATTTAATTCTAAAATAATCACTACACAAATGCCCTAAAAGTGTATGTATAACATTCCTGATGTCTGCATTTGTTTCTTGACTGGTGCTTAGGTGGTGGCCCTAGGGGATGTTCCAGATGGCACCCTGGTCACTGTGATGGCCGGCAATGATGAAAACTACTCTGCTGAGCTGAGAAATGCTACCGCAGCCATGAAGAACCAAGTGGCAAGATTCAATGACCTCAGGTTTGTCGGTCGAAGTGGAAGAGGTACGTTATCTGTCAAAACTATGCTTGAAACACGTTTCATGCTAAAAACTCATATTTCAGAATTCTAGTGATTTCTTTGATGGAATTCCTAGAAACTCAGTCCATCTTAACGTTTTTACTGCTATGTCAAGCTCTTGAAAATATTGATTTAAAGTTTAATATTTTTAGCAGAATCTCACTCTACATTATTTGCTTTCTGTTACTGAGTTGGTTTAAGACTGATTTGGAACATGCAAAGTAGGAATTGTGAATTTCAAAGAAAACCCTGAGATTTTTATTAAAATGCAAATAATATAAAACGTACCTTAATGGAAACTAGGATTATACAATGAGGGTTCTCTCTTTCATAATAATACAAAATCTACTTAATAGAAACTGTCGACGTATGATCTGTGGGCTATCTTTGTCAAGTGACAGAGTTTCAAATGATCACTTCTAATAATTTTAGGGAGCTCTAGTGTATGATGTTGAAATATGGTTTCCAGCAAGCTTACCTTTTTAGGAAAAGACATGAAGAAACAGTGTTAGTTCCACTGATGGCAGTGTGACCTTCCTGTTGTATTTCTTTTGAATGCCTTATTTAGGAGGAGGGGTTGGGCCTGGTTAACATTTTAAATGCTAATAGTATTAGAGACTGGACCATCCAAGAAATTGTTGTATTAGTTCAGTTCTATGTGTGGTTTTATTTTTCTTTGCCTTTAACCCATTATCAAAGTATTAGAGCAGAAACAGGAATCTTGGCTTATTGTAAGTTTTTCTGGTTTCTAATTATTTTCAAGTACTATGTTTTCTGTATATTTAAAAACTAAATCATATTTTATAAACAGCAACAAGTACTAAAAGTTGAGGGAGGTAAGATAGTTTTTTTTAACTCATTTTTGTAATATAGTACAGAATAAGCTTACAAATTGGTTATTTCAAGTATAATAAAAAGACTTCCAGTAACAGACGCACCAACCAAACATTTAAAGTAAGAGAAATCATTACTGTTTAGAAAGACATTTAAAAACAAGAAAATCTCAGTTCTCAGGGAATTTGATTAGTCAGAAAGGAGAAAGGCGTAGATGTGTGTTGACTATTTTGGTGATTATTTTTGCTATCCTAGCTATCTGGAGCATTTTCATAATAGAATCATAGCTGGAGAAAATAAAAAATTTATATATGTGATTGAAAATATATGCTCATAGTACTATATTAATAATAGGGTAATGCAAAGAAAATTATATCCACTTTTTGAAAGCATGAGTGATGCTATAAGATATAAAAGCATAAATCATTAAATGGGTTCCCTTGTTATATTAAAAGTCCCCACCTTTCAGTAAATGGAATTTGCATTATGATTCAGAGATGTGTGTTCAGAAAACATCTTAAAGGCTTCAGATGAGTAATTGGCAGAGCGAGTGAGAAGCCAATAAAAAACAAAGGCCCCACAACCTAGTCCATGCCCATCGGCCTAGCTAACTCTCTTAATTCAGTTCTTGTGGATTTCTGCTGTTAGGAATCAATAGCTGAGTATCATTGAATTGCTTTTTTAGAGAATATATTATCATCATACTATACATCTGTGTAGGTCTACATGTTAGGTTTTGGTTATGGAAGTTTTTAAAACTATTTAATGGTCCATGCCAGTGACATTTTCCCACAAGAAGTTCAGTAGTGGCTTTCTGGCAATGCACAGTAAATCAGTGATAATAAAAAAATGAGATTTTGAAAGCAGCGTGCTTTCTTCTCTGGTGTTGAGGGTTGATCTTGCATCCCTCATTGGCCATTTCTGTTTTGAGTGGGTGACTAATAGGTGCTTGTGTTTACTTGGGTAACAGTGAACTGTTTCCCCAAGGTGTGGAGTGTTTGCATTTGGCTGCAGGATTCGTGCCAGTATGCCCTTGAGTTTGCATAAACCCCAGAAAGTAAAATAGCTGCAACCAAGGCTGGGCTGTCTTCCCATACTCTGGAATGAGAAAATTAATTGAAATGCCATAAACGGACAATATTTTGAACAGGCTCTCCTTCCTACCAGTGATAATAAGCAATAAAAAATACAGGAACCCTAATTGAACATAATTACTATGGATGTGAATATTGTTGGTCTTGAATTATATGTATATACGTATATTATACATATGTTTTTTTTTTTTTTTTTTTTCTGGTCAGTGCTGCAAAACTAAATGAGCTGTCTGAAGGCCCGATTTGACTCTGTCTCATAATTTCTTTCCATAGTCATAAAATATAATTTGATTTTTCTCTTTCAAGTGTAAGTGTCAACACCAAAGCCTGCCAGATTTTTTCCTTTTTTTTTTTTTTTTTTTTTTTTTTTTTTTTTTTTTTTTTTGCAATTTGCTTCCCATTAGGAAAAGAGCAGATGATTCTCTCTAATTTTGACAATTAGTCTTAATCTTCTTCACTGAATCTTATCCTTTAAAAGTTTTATTACATTTTATTAAGTGATCTTAAGATGACGGTTTCATTTTCTGTTTTTGAAAATGTGCTTGAAAATACACCCTTGGCACGAACACACCACGCCATGGCTCAGAAGGCCCTGGCTCTTGGCTCATCCACACTTTCAATGCCAATTTTGAATTCTGTCAAAAGCCACCGGTCTGATGGTTTCTCCAAGGGGCCTTGTACGTGGTGCAAAATGAAAGGTAGAAAAAGAAGTTCTCTCTCTGTTACCAGCTGCTAGTCCGTGGGGATTGTAAACCTCAGAGAAACTGCCAGAGGTTGAGCATGGAAGGGTTTTTCTCTGTTCTACAAAACGGATCTATCTGGGCGCTGGCTGCCATCCAGGATCACAGCTCCTAACCTCGGGTTCAGTCCGCAACTGGGAAAACCTGCCTGTCCGGCTTGGACGGCCTTGCTGGCTACACTGGCCCCACAGAAGCCTGAACCTTCTCTCTTTTCTTCCATTCCCTCCTTTTTCTCCCTGGCAGTTTAAATCTTGGTTCAGGGTGTATCTCACCCTTGGAATGTGTCTCCCTTTGATTCAGTATCTCTATGTAAATCGACCGCTCCTTTACAAAGGAGGAAGAGATAGCAGCCCCCGGGAGATGAGGGTTAGGGAGCTCTGAGGAGCAGGCTGTACTCACAGGTCATGTGAGCACAGAGGTGGTTGTTCAGAACAATTCACATTTTAGCCAAATGGCCTGGGACTCCATGACACCCCCCAAAAATCAAAGTTCAGGGTCAAAGGGGATTCTCTGGGGTGAAACAAATTCACTGAGCAGCTTACATCAGTTTACATCTGCAGTTGAGGCAGGTGCTACATCACCTGCCACCTTTAGAATGACAAGAAAGTGTATCATGGCTTCAGCTGAGAGACCTTTAAGGTATTTCAGCAATTGGTGGCCGGGTGTGGTGGCTCACGCCCCTAATCCCAGCACTTTGGGAGGCTGAAGTGGGTGGATCACCTGAGGTCAGGAATTCAAGACCAGCTTGGCCAACATGGTGACACCACATCTCTACTAAAAATAGAAAAAAGAAATCCAGACATGGTTGTGGGTGCCTGTAATCCCAGCTACTCGGGAGGATGAGGCCGAGGCAGGAGAATCGCTTGAACCTGGGAGGCAGAGGTTGCAGTGAGCCAAAGTCATGCCACTGCACTCCAGCCTGGGCAACAAGAGCAAAACTCTGTCTCAAAATAAATAAATAAATAAATAAAAATAAAAATAAAATAAAATAAAAGAAATTTTAGCAGTGAAATCTGTAACTGCTTCATCATCCCTGTTGGAGTATTTAATCAGTCAGAGAATAACCGATCAGAAAATACAGCTTTAGTAATTTCATTTCAGAACCAAAGAAGTTTTCCAGCTGCATTATCAGCTGCATCATTGATAATGGGGGAGGAAAGACTGTCCACCGCACATTTCTTTCTAGGTTTTCTTAGAATATGATTTTTAATCTTTTGGGAATATAATAGATACTTTTGAAAACCCTTCAGAAGCCTTTTTCCAAGGGGGAAAAAAAAAAAAAAAACACGGGTTCACTTACACACAGAATTTCATATATCATTTCAGTTTCTAGGCTGCCAGAACTCATTTATGGACGTTCTAGGGACCCACGGACCCCAGGCCAAAATCTATGAATCTGGAACTTTGCATTGGTCCTGGAGGGCCAGCGTAGCCCTATGCCACCCAGAGTAGATACCTGAAAATGAATAAATAGATGAACAAATGAGCTAGACGTTTTCTTGAACCTGTGCTGTTTTGGTAACACCTGTGTTTTTGTTAGAGCCAGGGTCTGGTTTGTATAATTAAGAAAGCAGATTCCCTAGAAACCACTAGCCAGGCCTTTGGACAGCCATCATGTACGCACACATTTCATCACTGGTAAAGGGGAGGGGGCCCCTTCTGTCACCGAAAGGATAGTCGCTTCCCTCCTGCTGTGTCCACGCCCAACCCCGTGAGGCCAAGTGTTCTGTGGCCTGTCAGGATGGGGTTGAGTTTCCTGGCGGAATTTGTGTTTACATTGAGCTCCCTGGCAGCTTTCATCTCGCCCACTTTCAAAATAGCACCCTTTCCCAACCCATTTATACAATGAAATTCCTTCAGTATGTTCTTACTGTGAATGTCTTCCCAGACATAATATTTATCCTGTCACAATCTCTGCGTTATTGCATATTTGTGTAATGTTAGTTACTTACGGCATTTTCATTCTTAAAGTTATTTTACGTGATTTGGGGAACAGCGTGGGAGGTTGCCTTTCAGGTGAGTGGAAGGCTGTGGTCGAGAGGAAGAGAAGGTACGTTTAGGGAAGGAGAAACAGTGCTGGTATTCTAAACAAGGAGACGTGGCTTTATGTCGTGGTTGTTACCAAGAGATGGTCTGAATGACTCACAGTATTCTTGTAGGGTCCAAATCCTTCTCTATCACAGATTCATACAATAGAAGAAGGAAAAATCATCTGAACACGCCAGACTTGTTTCACAGATAATGTCCATGGTATAAGCTGGCAGTCAGATCTGGAGATAATATAAGGAAAAGACATGAGTTACATTAAAATCAAGT